GCAGCATGTCAGTGGCAGGGAGCACAAGGGCAGGAGCTGACCTCCAAAAACAAAGTAGTAATTTTATTGGTGTGTGTGTGTGTGTATGTGTGTGAGAGAGAGAGAGTGCGTGTGTGCGTGTCTGTGTAATGGGTATGTATAACACGGCAGCCCCATAATCATGGGGAACCAAACCATCCTTCAGACCAAACGTAGCATCACCTAGTGTTAGCTGCAGGCTTAACATAGCACAGGTTAGGGGGAAGGGTTATCCCATAGTCATCAACTCCATAGGGAAGTGGAGGATTAATTAGGGGGGAGCAGACTAGGGTGTTCGGAAGAGCGGGGAGCAACGATGGCATAACCATCAAGGTTGGTGTAGCGACCAACAGAGGAGGGATGACACATCCCTTCATACGCTTTTTGGCGCTTGCTCCCATCAAGGCTCATTAGAAGGTGAGGTGTTCCCATGCACCCGGCTAAGATACCCATGGAATACCACGATGCAAAGGCCGTTAAGGCAAAACACGGTGAGGCAGATGACGGCGAGGTAACAAGGCACTGGACAACAACAGGTTGCAAGTCACATAGGGTGGAGGACATGGGGGAGGAGGGCGGGCAGGTAACCAACACAAAGCAAGAAGTGAAAAAGGCACGAAGTACTCATACCAAGTTGGAAAAATGGAGAGCGAAAAAAATAAAATAAGCAAACGCTGATGATGACAGACTGTTTCGTCGGAGTTGCACCGACTCATCAGGAGGCTGAACCCTCGACAATCTGCGGAATCTCCGTATTTGATGGTTTGGGTCATGAACCCTTTGACCCTTGTTGAAGGCAGACTGTCGCCCAACGGAACATAGCAGCGGGCAGCAACCCTGTGGAGCATCAGGCAACACAGTAAAGGCAACATGGCTGCACAACGCCAAAAACGACTGCAAGGAACGACATGGCACGCAGGACATGCAGCGCGGCAACTGTGTAGTAAAGCACAAGGCAACACAAGCAAGACAACCACACTGCAAGGGACGACAGGGCGAGTGGACCAGCAACCCGGCAACCGTGGAGCGAAGCACAAGGCACCCGCAACAAGGCAACCATCAAGCAAGGCCCGCAGGCAGCAACCACGGAAGGCACGCCCAGCGAAAGGGCAGCAAGGCAGCGGAGCAGCGAAGCGCAAGGCAACACCAACAACATTGCCACACCACACAGCGAACACATCAACCTGCAAAGAACCACATGCAAAGCAAGCGGGACAGGCAGCAGGGCAGCGGCGGAGCGCAGACGAGGCCGTCCACACATCCAACACAGAGCAAAGCAACGCATGACCTACTCACATCACGATTGAACCCCGCAGACTGTTGGTTCCCACCACCCACTGAGCCAGGGAGTCACTCCGACGAGCATCCGTCATCACCTACAGGCAACACAGACATCCCGAACTGAGCGGCCCCCATAAGAGTGCAGTAGGCACTCCAAGCGAGGAACCACCGACTGTTTGGCACTACTTAAGGGTGCTCAGTTGGGTAAGAAAAAATACTTGGAAAAAATTGGAGGGAGGACAGACAACAAGAGGAAAACAGACAGACATAAAAATTGATTGTTTGTTTGTGTGTGTGTGTGTGTGTGTGTGTGTGT